TGGGGGCTAAATTGGGTTATATGGGGGAATTGTGACTCATACCTAGAATTTTCATGTTGGAATTATATGTTGGTACATGTATAATGTTATGTGTTAAAAAAGATTAGGTTGTGTTTATGAAATCAAAAATGAGTAACTTAATTGAGTTTGTGACCCATGATTCTTGAACATTATACACTTGTGGTCCATATTAATGTAATATTGAACCATTGTATTGCATTAATCTTCCTTATTTTGTGCTTCATGTTGAATTTTCCAAGTGAAGAGTTGCTTGAAATTTCGGACTGCAAACTGGGCAGAATCGCCGCACGTGCGGAAAGCCTTGCTGCACATGCGGGGCTCACAGCCGCACGTGCGGAAAACAGGGGGAAATTGGACTTTGCATTCTGAAAACTATGCACGTGCGGGACCTCACAGCCGCACGTGCAGGAACCCTTGCCGCACGTGCGGGGCTCACAGCCGCACATGCGGCCCATGCTGAAAACGTTTGTCTGCTCTGTTTCACGTGTTTAACCCTCTAATATTATTGAAATCTGTATTTGATGCCTCTTCAATGTTTGTAAATTCGTTTGAAGCAAAACAAATCAGATATTGTTTAAATCGAAAAATGCACTAATTTCTGAACTGCGCGTGTGTGTAGGTCACATTCTAGGAGGAACCATTGCTCTGCCACCGCACTGTGAGTAATAGTGCTGTAGTAGTACGTTTTGCCTACCGTTCATAGTTAATATTAACGTTCAGTTACGCGTGAGTTAACTTTATTAATTTAAAGTGATCAAATGGAACATATGTGCATCAGGAAATAATGATATCTTTGCGTGTCTGGAACCATTCTATTTTGGCAATGATGGACCCGAGGCCGTTATGATGAGAATTGTTCTATCCCTATTAATTATGCTGTAGTGATATATGTGCCTTCTGTTACTTGTTATCATTAATATTATGTTATACGCAAAACAACCATGTTGACTTGTGATAAACCATAGGGAATTGTATGTGCGCTATTGTCTAGTGGTATTCTTATGAATTTGGGATTATTCTGTTTTGCTAATACTAGACCGGAGGTCGTTCTGTACTATCTGTGGGCCAGAGGCCAATCTGTTGATATCTGGGTCAGAGGCCATTCTGTATAATCTGTTAGGCCATAGGCCATTCTGTATAATCTGTTAGGCCAGAGGCAGTTCTATATAATCTGTTAGGCTGGAGGCAGCTCTGTATAATCTGTTAGGCCAGAGGCTGCTCTATATGAATCTGTTGGGCCTGATGCCGCTCTGCTAAATCGGTTAGGCCTAAGGCCGTTCTGTGTGATACTGGGCGTGAAGCCGCTCTGTATAAAGTTTGGGCCCAAGGCCGTTCTGGAAACATATACAGGAAAAGATTAACCGTGTGACCTCTGTCTTTATATACATTATAATTCAAGTTTATTCATTAAATTATTTAAGTACTATTATTGACTGAGCCTCGCTCACTTTGTGTTATGTCTGTCTCTGTAGGCAATCAACTTGGAGGTCAGTCTTAGCTCAGCTTTGGTTGCTTCCTTTTGACAACTTCACCGTGCCCTAGCAATTGGTGAAGTCTATGCATTTTGTGGAGTTCCTTTCACAACCCTTAGCTTTGGGCACCAGTCTTTTGTCTAATGTGATTAAGCATGTATAACCTTCCCTACCAATATTTTGCTACACCCCACATGCAGGGCTAGATCTGTATATATATTTATATATGTACATGTGCATATCTGTTTCTTGTGTGTCTGTTTATCATATGTTGGAACTGTTTGATGGTACATTTACGATCCTGGCATATAGGTGTTAGCTCAATGGATGTTAATTCTTGTTGTTAAGTGCTTCCGTTTAGGCCCCATATGTTATACATATCGAATTTTATGTCCGGTTCCGAATTGGTCATGCCTAAACTTTTAAGGGCGAGTTTGGGGCATAACAGAGTCATTCTCCTTAGCTAACCTGCTGTGGACATCGGCTAGGATGTCAAATTCTCGGCGAAAGTTCTCTATCTTAGTTGGGGTGTATATCTTCCATTTGTGCATGCCTATTTTCTCGGATAGGGTGTTTTGGTGTTGTTTACCTAGGGTGATTCTAGTGTTCTGAGTGTTCTAATTCAAAGATTCTAGAAATCTTATGAAGATCCTGGAAATCCTAAGTTCGTTCACGAAGTTGCTAAGGTCTCTATGTTTTTCCTAGTGTGATTCAATGGCAAATCCCAAATTCCTAAACTAGAGAATGCAAAAAACAAAGGCAAATATGCAAGAATTTGAAAAAGCAATATGGAAAAGTAGATGGAAAAAATGAAAAACAAACTCAGAATTTAGAGATTACAGAATATTGAATGCAAAACACAAGAACATACTCAAAGTATGAAGAACATGAAAAAATGAAACTAAAATGTAGGGATTGGGTGACTTACGGGTTGATGATAGAGAAACAACGAACAAATTCATGTTCATCGGGGTGTGACGAAGCCATTGATCGTAACATAATTTCAGTTCAGTCGTCGAAAGTGATGGATGGATCAGTTGCAGCGGTGGAGCATAAATAGGCGACAATGGCATTTTAGGAGTTAGAGAAAGAGAGTCTGAGAGAAGAGAAATTTGGAAATGAAAAATGAAGAGGCGGAGGAGAGAGGGAAGGGTTTTGGTAAGTAGAAGAGGCATCAAAACACAATGATTTCGAATTTCATTGGAGACGTGCTTAGCTGATGTCCGCTGGTGTCAGGCAGTGTGGGTCAAAAATGAAATGACATGTCTATTGATGTGATGAGTACGAACTAATTTTGGTGGTGGCACATTGCTATGATGGTTATGATGATTTTGAAGTTTGTTACAGAAACAGACTTGGAATCATGAGTTCTTGACCTAGTAGGTGATGACATTGGTTAGTAGTGTGATCTCAGTTGAGATTTTAATCTTGGATGAGATAGAACATTTTGGATCTTGATAACAGGACACTTGAGTCATGGTTTCTTGATGCCGACGAGTCATGATCTCGGTCGAAGGAGTATCACCACCATGTTGTTTAGCCGACATAGAGGATGTAGGTTCCATCACCTCAATTTGCCGAGGTAATAAAACCTAAGGGGCAGTTGTGGGGACATATTTTTAGGGTTGTCCATGTTTAGCCTAGGTTCCATGTTGATGGACCAAGTTGCCAATATATGATGCAATCATATCGAAGTCCAAGATATTCGGATGGAGGACAGGAGTCCTAGATTGTTTCAGGCTCTCTGTTTTCATAGATATAGAACTTTAAGGGGAGTTCATTCTAATTTGAATAAGAGGAGTCTTGGATGAGTGTTATCCTTGAAAGGGATAGAGTCCTATGAAGTAAGACTTCTAGGGGAACGAGGGCATTGTTGACTATAAACGCAAGGCACCCCCATGAGTCTGAAATATGTTTTAGTTGGTAAGTACTATGACTGGGTTGTTATCTTTCAAAAATAAGTTGACTGACTTGATCGTCAAAGTGCTCCTAGGTGGACAAGCTATCGGTGTCTATTGTCTTCTTGTGTTCAGGTGTTTGGCTTCTTTGTTCTTCTGTGTGCTCTATGGCTAAGTTCCCAAGATCTCGGTAAGGAGATCCGATTTAGTTGTGAGGTCAAAAAGCAACACCCACAGTTTGAAAGGGGAAAACAAAAAGGCAAACTACATCCAAGATTATATTGTCCATGAATTATTTTTCAAATAATGCCTCGTTTGTCAACTGTATATTTTAGTCAAAAAGTCATTATAAGTTGTCACATCACTCTCTCTACTTTTCTGCACATCTTTTCGTAAAAAGCTAAAAAAGTTACTAAAATAGCCTATTCCCAAACGAGGCCTAAGTGTAATCCGATCTAGTGGCTCCCGATGTTTAGTCAACTTGATTTTTGGTACAAATAATTTACTTGATGAGTCCTACAAAATCAATGATTTTAATTGTTAAGATAAGCCTGAAATGCACAAACAAACGAACGAAACAGAACTATCCAATCCCAACTAGAGAGGATCTAATCCCTAAGGCTTATACCGATAGTTTTCCTAACTTATAAAACTTTATAATATTACATTCACATATGTACTTCTAGAAGGTATAAAAGAAAATATGGGTTTTGAACATGGATTTTATTTGCATCCAAAAAATCATATTGTACGCCCAATTTAGGATTATAATTTACTCTCAGTACACCTTATAGTTTTTCCCAAATTACCTTCAAGTTACACCCAAAAAATAAACAAATTTAAAACCCCAAATTATATCACTTTGAAAAGAAAAAATTTGATTTTTACCCCTATAGTTTGCCTCGATGATTACTTACACCCCCAGACCTCAACATTTTTTAATTTTACCCTCAAAGTTTTTGAAATTGTATCAATTTGCCCCTCACAGTCAGATTTAAATGGAAATTTTTTTTTTTTTATAAAAAGAATACATTTTGACTCCAAATTTCAAAACAAAGATGCAAACTCATCATCTCCTACCCAAACTCACCCTCCTCCATCCTTCATTGTCATCTTGCACAAACTTCTCTATAACTCCTCACTTTTCCTCTTTCTCCACCTCTATTTCTAAGCCCTAATCTCTCTCTTCTCTCCATACCTCTACAACTTAACCAGCCACTGCCCGTAGCGATGTCTAGCCCTCCTTTTCCCTCCACTAGTTCCCTAATTTTGCATACATATCAATCAATAAGTTGGTGACAAATATATCAGATTCCATTCCCATTCTTTATACTAAAACCATGAAGTTCTTTCCCAGCAAGGAAACAGTCTAGTTCAACCAACACTGGTATTATATAGGAAAGTGTGACGGGGTTTGGTTTTATCCGTGCATCAATCATCAACCTAAACATATCCAATGCTTCTCAGTTGTTGTGTTTATAAGCAAAACTAGTAATGATTGCATTCGAAGAACATTTGGCACAAATCCAGACCTTGATTTTATCTCCTGAAACAACTCAATTGCTTCAGCATGACATCCATTAACCGAAACCACCCCGATAATAGTGTTCTATAACATAATGCCTCTCTCAGACATTTTATCAAACTCCTTCTCTGCATCACTCAAATAACCACAACCATCATAGAACAGCAAAAGGGTATTCCCCACAAACAAATCCAAATCAAAATCCAATTTAAACAACAACCCATGAGCCTTCTTACCCTTCCAAATCTCCAAATAGTCCACACAAACCTTGAGAACAAAAGAAAAAGTATGGTCATCGGGTTCAACTCCATTTTGAACCATCATGTTGTAAATTTCGAAGCCATTATGAATTCTAGCAATGGAGAAAGGTTGGATGAGAGTATTCCACAAGAAGGCATAGTGAGAATACGAGACAGGAAGTTGGAAGACAAGCCATGAAGTTGATGGGTTTCCCAAAGTGGCGTAGCGAAGAATGAGAGAAGCAGAGATAGAGACATTGTTAGAAAGTAGTCCTTTAAGAAGAGTAATTGCATGGGTTTGTTTGGTTTGTTGGAAGGATTGTGTGGAGGAGCAGAGTAGAAGGAGAGAAGAGTGGGTTTGGGTGGTTAGTGAAAGGTCAGTCCATTGTATAGTGGTGGCGACGGTGATGAGGAAGAGAGATGGGCTTTGGGTTTGAATTTGAAGTTGCTTGCATTGGCTTGAAAGAGCAGAAGCTAGGCTGCAGCAAATACAAGAGATAGGAGAGAGTGTGTTTGCATCTTTGTTTTGAAATTTGGGATCAAAATGTAATTTTTTTTTTTTCACTTTTTCCATTTAAATGTGACGGTAAGGGGTAAATTGATACGATTTCAAAAAATTTTGAGATAAAATTGAAATTATTCAAAATCTAAGAGTGTAATTGATAATCGAGGCAAAATATAGAGGTAAAAATAAATTTTTTTCCTTTCAAAAACTCTCAACCCTTTCTTTATTAATGAAGTTTCGACCTTATTGGATTCTACAACCACATCGATGATGGTCATCCCATTGTGGCCAAGTCTAGGATCCCGTCCCATGTGTTAGAAATTGGGCGCCCATGTAGCATGACCCATGACCCTTTTAAACCTTATCTATGTAAGTTTGAATTTGAATTCAAAACCTATTTGGATAACCCACTCTTGATATCTATATCTATCATATTAAGTTATATGGATAGATGATATACTTAGCCTATATATCTGAGATGTTATATGGGATATGGGATGAATCAAATAATGAATGATTTTTCCCATACTAACTCTCTCTCATTAAAATAATAATCAAGCTTTTTGCACTGTGACTTGTGTGGGTGATACTCATATTGTGGTATCACTCCACTGCTGGGTGTTTGTTGTTCGCATTTTTTGAAGCATGTGATTTACCCACAAGATTCTTCGCTTTAGGTTTTATCACCTAAGGTATGATCTGAAACTTTTACCCGCTGCGTTAATATATCATACATTGGTATTAGAGCATCCATGGGTATTTTCGTGCTTATTTTTGTGCATTAAAATATGTGTATAATTTTATACAAATATATACACGATATATGCATGAAAATTAATAATTTTTCTGAACTTTCTCCGGTCAACCTGAATTTACATATGTTGTAGTATATTTCATGTAGAATATATCTGCCAAGTTTCATGAAAATCCAATAGTCGGATTTTGAGAAAAATGGAGATTCATATTTAATTTTTTGTAACTTTGACTGCACGTTGGTTTTACATGCTTTGTTTTTAGGTTATGAAAATTACATATTTGGAATCCTTGTTTCGATACCTTCGAAATGGTATATTATGGGTCTGATTCCGACTTACGATTGATGAGAAAAAGCAAACACTAATTTGAGTTCGTTTTGTTTTTTTGGTGGCTTAAGGAAGAAGATGAAGTGTAGAGTTTCTGCACTTCCACTCTCATTAGAGAGTATGTGATACACCCTATTATTTGGGTTTATTAAATGTCATTTTTCATACCACCGTTGTTTTTATTTTGGAAAATGGAGTCCAGCAGTACCAAAATTGAACCAAAAAACACTCCGGAAGGCGGCGCGTGAGACGCACGCGCCAGATCACGCTATCAGCGGTGGCCACACGCTACCACGCATTATCACGCGCCAAGCACGCTTCCCACACGCTGCTACGCACCACCATGCTCGCGCTATCCGCGTTGTCCACGTGCGCGACTTGCGCCATTCCACATGCGCGTTAAGCCGCGCTGCTTTGAGCCGCGCCACGTGCGCTGCCTCGCACGCGCTGTGCACTACGCCGCTCGCTGAGCCGAGATGCTCCGCGATGAGCCGCCTCGCGCCGAGTCACGCCGCGTTGAGCTGCGCCAAGCCGTTTTTCGTGCTGGCTTGGTTCTAAGGCCCTGTTTGTTTTTTTTTTAATTCAGAATTGCTTTAAATGGTCATAAATAATTTGTTATAGCTTTGTTTTGAGTGTTGTTGGTACTGTTAGACTCAGAATTAAATTTTCTATCTTTTGTAAAATTTTCAAAATTTTATGAAAGTAGAAAATATTTTTCCTGAAATAAAAATTCATTATTTCTGCTTTAAAAAGCTTTTGGTGTTGTATGATTAAGTTTCTGGAGCTAAAATTTTTACTGTGGACCACTGTAATGGTTTACTATTTATTGGTATGGTTGTTGCATTTTCCTAGATTCTAGAATATTTATTTATGATTTTATGTGCGTTTATTAATTATTTAAAATTCTAAAAAATTCCAGAAAATTTCAGAAGTGATATAATTTATGTTATATCATAATCTGAATATTAAACACAGCATATTATTTTATTTTATTTTTGGTTTGTAATATGTTGTGATTAGAGAAGCATGATTATTTTTTTTTATTTAAATTCCATTATTAAATGAATATAGCATGAGTTAATTGTAAATTTACATTAAGATGCTATTGTATGGAATTAGAATATTTTATCATGCTTTTAGACATGTCATAGTCAATGGGAGGTTGTTCGGTTGAGAGAAATCTTTGTAGATTTACTCTCGAAAACTAATATTTTGCGCATGAATTAAATTAAATTTTGAATAATTGTCACATATGGCACAGGAGATGATTACGAGCATTGCGAATTTTTGATTTTGCGACTTCTGTAATATTGTCATTATTTAATTTAGATTTTTGCACCAAAATTATATTGTACTAATCAAATTAATCCCAATGCGAATTTTTCTCTAAATTGACTTAATTTATGGAAGTTAATTTGGTTGACCTATACTTAGCAGAAATGTTCAAATGTGAACAATGCAATCCTATTCTTTAGATGAGCAAAAAGTCTTGGAGACTTTAGGTCATATCGTAATTGAGCCAAAGTAAGGAAACATGACTCAAAGTCGTCGTGGTTTTTGTTGCCTTGTTTTGGCACAATAAAAATAAAAAAAAAAACCTGATGTGTGCGCTATGGTTAGGTCATGCTACGTAGTTTTGATTGGCGAGTTTTGGAGTTGTGAAATTAGTAAGCCCTCAATAGATTTATACATGATCTTGACTATTGAGCTACGTGGATTGACTTTGTAATTTGACTTGTAATAATGTTGCATCATTGGATGAAGTAACATTCAAGAGTCACGTCATCCAAGAAATGTGAGCTTAAATGAATTAGTCATTAAGTGTAAGACGAGTAGCTGTAGACGTCCCCCGAACGCCCCGGGAGGGTGAGTCCCGTTCTGTTCATTTGGGGTTACTACAGTTCGGACTCGACTTGTGTCACGGTTCTTAATCCAAACCAAAGAGTCCAAATCTGGCAAATCGTTTTGAGAAACAGATTTTTGAAAAAGTAGTGCCAAACATGGACTGCTTTGCCAGATACAGAGTCGCCACCTAAATATTTTAAAATGAGGGAATTTAGGAAACCCTGACTCGGTGCCGAAGGCCACATGTCCGTCATCACCGGAGTTGTCTCGGCTCGGGAGCTTGGGTACGATCGGGGAAGGTCAGCTATGAGCACCCCCTTTCGCCCGGTCCGAAGACCGGCCTCTACTAACCGTGATATCCGTTTTTGAAAACTTTACGTGTTCTTAAACCAATTATTAGCCTAGAATTACTATGTTATGCGCACAGCAAACAAGTATAGACTAGATTGCCTAATTTGGAAATAAACATTGCATATCGGTTCGGTTTGAAAATGCTTTGGAATTTGCTACTCGCAAGTAGGCTAAAATACGGATTTCAACGAGTTTTTCCAACTCAAACAATCCAACCTTCACCCACAGGCATTCAAAACAGTTTAACACATAAGCATCTAGCCACATGTTAAGCGTGCTGTCATGGCAACATTCACACTCATGCGATATGCTAAAGTATAAATACTTACATCGTACTCCGTGCCAAAACAGAGAACTTGTTAGCAAACATGCATGATCCAAGTCCATGTTAAGTACCTAATGCATCGCATACAAAGTGTTGCTAGAATAGGCTCGGCTATCCTAAACATATCATGTGAAAATGCACAATTATCACGTATTCAGTTTGGGAATTGAAGTATTGATGCAGTTAGCGTGATGTACCGAGCCTAATGCATGCAATACAAATGCATGGATACACACATGCATAGCATAAAGTATGCTAAATTAAACGTGCCCTAATACTAACCATTAAAACGGGTAAATAAAAGGGAAGAAAGAAGTGAGGTTGGAAGACATACACACACTCACGCACACTTATTACAGATTTGCCCTCACTCGGAGGGACCGAATAAATATTACAAATTAATTAACTACGCAAGCTAATTAATATTACAAATTAATTAATTAACAAATTAACGAATCTAGGAAAACAGTAAAACACCTCGAGAAGCGCGCCGCCATGCGCAAGCTGCCTCTGTTTTCCTTCCTTTCCTCCTCTGAAGGCTGTCAAAACCTCAGGGTTGCATCCCTAGGCACTGGGGAGTACCACCGGCTAAGTGGAATCACCACCGGCACTGGTGTGTATCCATCGGCACAAAATTGAATCTGTCGGCAGAGAAAAGGTTGCCGGCCGGCACCTTACACTGCCGGTTGGCAAAGAAAGTCTGCAAGACCTGCAACTCACAGCAACAGAGGGCAAAATAAGGCATGGCAGCACAATCAAGGCATGTATGCACCAACCATGTCTCTTATCATTGTAATGACTCAAAGGGACATGTGCCTCGGTTCTCGGACCACCAATCACGCATTTCCATGCATGATGGCCCAAAGAACCAAGTATGCAACTTTGATTTCAAATGCATGCAAACTAATCAAACAAACTAGGCCCAATTCCTATCACCAAATCAAGGAATGAGGCATGCATGCAAGATGCAATGCAACCTAGTCATACAAGCTAGGAATGCAACATGACATGGCAAGGCACTTATGCAATCATGCAAGCATACATATGGCAATGCAAATGGATGGCAAGATGGACTTATACATGAATTAGGCAACTCTAAAAAGGGCCTAAAACAGTGGCCAAAGTGCGAAAGAGTGACGGCTAAATGGCATACACGCACACATGCACATAAGGACTAACACTTAAGCACAAATCAAACAGCATTCAAGCACACTTGAAAGGGGGAATCATGGACAATTAGCATGCAACATAAGCATTGAAAATGCATGTTAGGATGGTGCCAAACCAAGGAACAAATCAAGCTAAACATGCAGCAAATAGTCTAAGTGTTCAAAGCAAATCCAAGGAGCATTGAAATACACTTGCAAGACT